ACCTGACTTTTGTCCTCCTCTATTCAGGTTGGCAGATCACACTGATACTTTGCTTCTCCTGGAGTTGATATCAGTTCAATGTCTAGTAATACCAAACTGTTTAATTATTTCCTTTTCCCCAGTGCATAGTTCTCCTGAAAAAAAAAAGCCATAGTGTTTTTGGGGAAGACTTGGAGAAAGAATAAGAAATGTTTGGTGTATACTGGGATCCATCCTCAAGAAAACTTGGCATCCTTTTTATTCAAGGGATTCTGGGTCTGTAAATTGGCTCAAGCCTGGGAAATGATTGATTCTGTTTTTATGATTCATGCTGGTGTTTTGCTCTCTTACCTTGAACTTTTTGGCCTTTATAGGTTAAGTATGAATTTAGTAGCCCTCCTATCCACTTTTAGGAACACCGTAATCAGTTAGCCAATGCTATAGATCTCTGTGAGTCAGACTATTCTGTTTAACTCAGCTGACCACTATGATATCCTGCCACCTATCTTTTGCCAAGTGAGTGCGCTTAACCTCTGTCACTCTAGGATCCAATTACTTCCATTGCACTTAAGTTTCCCAGTTCAGAGATAGCAGGTCCATTGTATCACAGAAAACAGTGATAACAAAGCTCTTCAAGGATGACTGGGTGCCCTCATAGGCTTGTATCCCACAACAGTGATTAAAGGTATGTTTTCTGTACCCTGTCCTTGTGAGTGAGTAGATGTTAAATAACAAAGTTACTCTAACATTCCAATCTCCCTTAAGACTATTTTCCTCCCTTTATTTTCCTCTGGAAAACCTGGACAAATACAGATTTTATTTACATAAAATATAATTTATATATACATAATGTATATATATTATAAATATACATAACATTAATTTTCTCTGGAAATATATATGTAACATATATATTATATTATTATAGACCAATATGTATTTGTATTATATTATTATATAAATGTACATATGTAAAAATTGGCTCCCATGATTTTGAGTCTGACAAGTCCTAAGATTTGCAGTTGGCAAACTGGAGATTTAAGAATGTTGATGTACTGGTTTAAGTCCAAGTCCAAATACTTGAAAACCAGAATCAATTGTGTAACTTCCAATCTGAATAGAAGACAATAGACAGAAAGACTAATTGTCCTTTATTTAGCCTTAGATGAGGACACCACTTAGGAAAGGATAGTCTACTTCAGTCTGTTTACAGATTGAGTTGTTAATGTCTTCCAGAAGTATCCCCATAGATACATTCAGAATTATGTTAAACCAAATATTTAAATTGATTTACAAAGTTAATTATCAGTTTAAAATTTTAGCCTATTTTGCATGTGCAGGTTTAATTTTTTCAAATTTTTGTAAGTAAAAAACATTGTAGCAGAGCAAAACTAAAAATGATACTCTTGGAAAACAATAGCATTTGAGATATTTATCCATAATTTATTTTGCTTTCAATGTATTTATTCAAGTCTAGAAGAGGGAAGAAAGGTATGATGAGGAAATGAAGACTACTTGGTTTGTTGATGCCTGGAGAAAATAATTACACTTGGTACTCATTTCTTAAGGCATTTTATGTTGGCTTTGCTTTATAATACATAAACAATATTTTTAAGATTTCTATTTTGTCATGATCCTAAAAATGCTAATTTTGAAGTTTATTTTTGTCAGTTATTTATATTTAAGCTATAGTAGAATAAATTTTACTATTGATATCTATCAATTCTAAATATATAATTCAAAATTAATAATGTACATGAAGCAAAAATTAGTATTTTAAGATAGTGGCTTTTGTTTCTGTTATATTTTACCAAAGAATAACTTTTGAGAACTTTCACTTTTAAAATGAAATTGTGAATTAAAGCAATTAAAATGTGTTTGATTTTGTGTAAAACAATTCTTTTAAAGTGGAATTTTAAATTAACAGAATAAGAAATATTATGAAATATTGGAACAGGGTTTAGAACAGGTAGGGATTGAATAATTAAATTATTTCAATGATGTACTACTTCATTGAATGTAATGGTTTCAATATATGAATGTCTAAAATAATATTATTGTTTTATTGCAAGGATTTATTTTGTAACTAAAATTTAATATTTTCAGGCAAAATACTTATTCTGAAAGTTTTGTGTTTCCATGAATATTTTAATTTCCCTTTGGTCATCACCCTTAGTCCAAACAGCATGATATTATAATACAGAATTTTCCTTGAAAATTTAAAAATTGAATATAGTATCATTCAGAAAAAAAAGGATAGTTTCTATCCTACATAAATGTTTTTCTAGACTTCAAAATATTTTGAATGAGTAGAAAATCTTTGAAGAGTAAATTGTTTCCATAAATGATTGAATCTAAGATGTAGATTCATATATAATTCAGTGTGATAGATACAGGTTCATTTTCCTACATATTTTAATAACCACAACAGAATGTTAAACATTTATTAAATGAAAAAAATAAAGGTATAACACAATATTTACTATAGTATTATTCTAATTATGTTAAATGTATGGAAAATAGTGGGGAGGATTTAGAAAAATCAAAATTAATTTTCATTTGTATATACATATATAAAATTTCTACTGAAATTTTATGCTACAAACCTGTTTCTGCTTTTTGTATTGGCTACTTATTAATAATTTCCATAATATGAACATGGGATGGGGTCCCTGACTTAGTGCACAAACACTACTATATTTAATATTCCCCAATTTTCAGTAAATTGTAGCATTATCCCTGGATTACCTTTGTTTCAGCCTGAGAATATATTTGACAATATTGATAATTGACCAATATCTCGTTTGTTTTTTGCTGGGTATAAATATGTATTGGGCTTCCCTTGTGGCTCAGGCAGTAAGGAATCTACCTGCAATGTGGGAGACCTGGGTTGGGACGATCCCTTGGAGGAGGGTGTGGCAACTCACTCTATTTTCTTGCCTGGAGAATCCCCATGGACAGAAGAATGGTGGGCTATAATCCATGGGGTTGCAGAGTTGGACGCGACTGAGCGACTAAGCGCAAAGTGTCTTAACTGTCTAGACTAGACTCTAGAATAGAGTAAGGAAAGCATCCCTAAGAATAAAAATTGTAAATGAAATTTGATAAACATTTAATTAGGGGAAAATGCAGAGAAGAGGAAGGGTGTTAAAGGGTGAGAGCAACATCTGCAAGCATGAGATATAAAAGCTGGAACAAGCCTTCTGAGAAATGAAGAAAACAAAACAAGGCAAAACAAAGCAATTGATACGTATCGAGTGTATAGCAAAGTGGTGACAGGAGCACATCTGGAGATGAGAACAAGATTATGATTAATGCATAAACAGGGCTATAGAGGCCAAGCAAATAGAATAACAATAAAAGTAAAGATTATTAAAGAAGAATATTATCCCCTTTTAATAGAAATGCCTTAGACTAAACACACACACATACACACACAAAATTTGCCTAATATGACAGAAATTTGCATTAGACTAAGTCTGATTTCTAAGATTTTAGATTCATATTTCTTATGTACTGTACCTGGTTGGAGACTTTTTTGCTACAAAGTAGTATGACTACATTTGTGGTGTAGAAAAATCAACTTTAGTACAGAAAATTGTGTGCAGTAGAAGGAGAGGGAAGTAGTCATCAATCCGAAGACTACTGCCTTGCTCCAGATAAGACCAGTGCAGGGTGCTAGCCACAGACATGGAGACAGATGACTAGGCAGGGAGATATTTCAGAGAACAAAAGTCTGCATATATTTATTTTAATATTGGACTTAAAAGTAAAGAAGGGGTAAAGTATGAATCCCAAGTCTGTAATTTTTGCTACCATAAAAAATAGATTCAAGTGCTCAAATAGTTCAAAGATGGAATCAGATCTCAAAGATAGGTGGAATCAGAATGTACTGGGAATTGCAAAGTAAATGACGGAAGACAATAGAGCAGGGGATAGGCTGGAAATGACTCAAGGTACAGAATAGTGTTAGATTTGAAAAACCATGGTTTCCCTTGTGGCTGAGATAGCAAAGAATCTACCTGTAATGCAGGTAGGTCACCTGGGTGTGATGTCTGGGTACAGAAGACCCTCTGGAGAAGGGAATGGCTACCCACTCTGGTATCCTTGCCTGGAGAATTCCATGGACAGAAAAGCCTGACAGGCTTTGGGGTCGCAGTCCTTGGACTCTCAGAGTCGGACCCGATAGAGAGACTAACACTTTCACTTTTGCAAAACCATTAGGAATTTTTCCAGCTGAAAGTTTCTGTAAATATTGATACATGATTCATGCCTCTGTTTTAAACACTTGATGAAAAACCGTCTATACTAAGAAGTTTACTTTTAAGATGGAAATGAATAGAATGAAGATGCATAAGATTATTTAAATGGCCAATGGAAAAGTTCTGTGAGTTTTATATCCCTTGAAATTTCAAATGTCCATAAAATTTCTCAATTCCCAAAAAAATGAGAACATTCTGGTAAAAAGAGTACTCTTCTAAAGTCACATAGCGAAAAATCTGTGAGATTAAGTTTAATATTCTATCTCTGGTCGGTCTTTGATGACAGAGCCTGTGTATCTGCAAGCAATATTATACTGAAGAAGTAAAATCATTTAAAATTATGGCATATAGCCTAAACTTATCATAATAAGGTTTGAAATTCCTCACATTATCTCTTTGAGTTCAGTGATTTTAAGTGTAGTCAAGAGTATATTAATATTTTACACTTAAGATATAGACTAATAGATTCTTTTCTTGTTAATGTGCCAGACATTTAAATGTTGGTAGTATTCTAATCAAAAATATTGTGTGAGCACTGTGTTTTGAAAATATATTTTACTTTATTTCAAATTAGTATATATGTGTTTTTGAGAATGATAAAATTAAAATGTTTAATCTCTCCACAGTGAAAATTAAGATAATGACCTCAATCATTGTTCTGGTGATGTTATGTGGAGATAAACTGATATTTGCCAAAATTATTTTTTCTGTGATAACAATGCATATATTTATAGACTCTTCCTTTCTACCTCCCTGAAGCTTCACACTGACCAAGATAAAGGAGATGGAAATTTAAAATACATATTAACAGGAGATGGGGCTGGCAGTCTGTTCGTCATAGATGAAAACACAGGAGATATTCATGCGGCAAAGAAACTAGACAGAGAAGAAAAGTCCCTTTACGTTCTTCGTGCCAAGGCTATAGACAGAAAGACTGGGCGGCAGGTGGAGCCTGAATCTGAATTTATAATTAAAATTCATGATATCAATGACAATGAACCAAAATTCACAAAAGACTTGTACACTGCCAGTGTTCCTGAAATGTCTGGAGTCGGTAGGTATATGCTAATTCATGTAAATTAAGGTTTTTATTTTACTTTTTGCTAAGGTAATTATTATGGACATACAGTTATGAGATGTGATCTCTTTCAAGATAAGAGCTATAACTGTAACTACTAATTAGTGTTAGCTAACTCACTTCTAATGATTTTCAGTTGTGTTTCTTAACAGTTTCTGCTATTTTGTAACTGATATTTAAGATGATTACTGAGAAAAATTATTCCACCGGATTTCAACCAAGTTTTTACCTCTACTCAACTGTCATTCAAATGGCACTCAGATTCAATGTATTTTTGCCTGAAATGAAAAGAATAGTGTCAGCAGTTTTAGAAAGTTTTGCTTGCATTATTTTGCATAATAACAACAAATGCTTGCATTTGACAAATTTCTTTTGATAGTATCATTTGATCATTGAAACAACTTCATGTGATAGGCATGAGAAATAGAACTTTAAATCCCCATCCTGTTAATTAGGAACCCTGGATTCAGAAAGATTAAGTAACTGAATTAAGATCAAATAACCTGGCAGCATATCAACAATATTCTAATTCTTTTTCATGTTATTTTAGCTATATTCCACACAGAATGATTAGTCTAAAAACTGAAACTAATCATTTCATTCTTTAAGTCTGCCCATAATTTTAAATGCCTTTTGTTATTATGAAATATTTTTATCTGTAAAGGTCATTACATTTAGCTATATTTATGTGAAAGTTTAGATTTGTTAATGAGATAGTAAAAGATGACTCAAATTATATTTCTAATAAAACACTGAAAAACATGCGATTGATTTTCAAACTTTGATATTTAATTGAATATTATTTCAAAATCAAGTATATAATTTTGACATTGTTGTAATTAATACCTAGGTCAGTCTAAAATAAAAGAAGGAAAACAAACTTATGTACACCTTTGCTGAGTGATTGATGTTAAATATTTTTTAATTATGTGTGTCATCTAACCAGAAAAACCAAAAGTTTGTAAAGTTTTTATTTTTTGCTAAACTGAGATGAAATCTCACCTGAGGAAGGGAAAAATCTGCCTTTTCAGGTATTCATTCCAATAATATGAAAAGCATTAGTCAAATTAGAAAGGAGTCCTGTGAAATCATAAAGCCTAGGATGAAATATGAGTGATTGTATTTTCTTTTAAGATTTTTATGTATCTGTTAGCTTGGTTTGGTTACATGGAAAGTACTGCATTGGTCCATAAAAGTTTTCCAGTGGGTTAATGTAGATATACAGCATGTCTCTTTGTAGGCTTATATTTGAGATAAAGATACATATAAAATGATGTTCTCCATTTCAGTTTCCTATTGATGTACATTCTACAGTTTGATTTTCTGATTAATACCCTTCAACAATTGTAAAACTTTTTTTTTCTTGTTTTTTTTTTTTTGTATGTTATTTTGTCAGATGTTTTGACACATAATAATACAAAAAGTGAAACTGTTAGTTGCTCAGTTGATCTGACTCTTTGCAACCCCATGGACTGCAGCCCATCAGACTCCTCTGTCTATGGAATTCTCCAAGCGATAATACTGGAGTGGGTTGCATTCCCTTCTCCAAGGGATCTTCCCCACCAAGGGACCAAACTTGGGTCTCCTGCATTGCAGACAAATTCTTTACTGTCTGAGCCACCAAGGAAACCCCAATAGTACAAAAACGTTCATGTCTTGTCTTTCTCCAGAAAGATTTGCTATACCTATAAGATATGCAATTATGCAAAATCATGCAAGCAAAGCTATCTAAAACTGCTGACACTATTCCTTTCATTTCAAGCAAACATACACTGAAGCTGAGTGCCATTTCAATGGCTGTTTATTGCCTAGTGGCTCAGACAGTGAAGAATCTGTCTGCAATGCAGGAGACCCAGATTTGATCCCTGGGTCAGGAACATCTGGAGGTGGGCCTGGCAACCCACTCCCGTATTCTTGCTTAGAGAATTCCATGGACAGAGGAGTCTACCAGGCTCTGGTCCATGGGGTTGCAAAGCGTTGGACACGACTGAACAACAAACACTTTCACTTTCATAGAAGTAAAAAGTATGATTAATATGATAGAGGTGTTTGAATGTAATAAATTTGGATAATTGACTTAAAACCAAAAGACTTTTTAAATTTCCAAACTATTAATTCATCTTTAAAAACAGAATATTTACTTACTGGAGACTCTTTATATTTAAACTCAACCTGTATTTTCTCCTATATTATTTTATATTATTTAATGGGATATTATCTTCTACTCAATATGTTTTTATAATCTATCTACCAAATTCAAAGATAGTCTTTCTCATTGAAATACTAATATCATCTAGAGTCTATTAAAATTTATCAAGTGTGTGATAAGATCAGAACTAGACTACGTGCTTCTCTGTTTTATTTTTCACAAAACTTTCACTTGTCCAAACCTATATTAAAATATAGAATATATAAGTTTATACATAGGAGAAGGCTTGCAGATTATCTTGTCCGAAAAGCCTTTCATGTAAAGCATGTAAATGTATTTCATTTATATAAGCTTTAAATTATGGGCAGTACACTATCTAATTACTGTAAACCTTAAATACGAGAATTTGGGTTATTGCCAATAACATTACCTGCATGTCTACAATAACAACAAAACTGAGAGTGTGTAGGTGGTGGCTGTGTGGCTCCAGTTGCAGATTTCGGTACTGATAAGCAAAGATTTAAGAACTACAGGTGAATCTTAATCCCATTCATAGAGAGAGAAGTAGCGTTAGTCATTCAGTCATGTCGGATTCCTTGTGAGCCCATGGACTGTAGCCCGCCAGGCTCCTCTGTCCATGTAATTCTCCAGACAAGAATACTGGAGTGGGTTACCATGCCCTTCTCCAGGGGATCTTCCCCACCCAGGGATGGAGCCCAGGTTCCCTGCATTAGGCAGATTCTTTACCATCTGAGCTAACCAAAGAACCCTGCCCCTTTATGGAGGATAATTATTATTCTTTATTACTAATATTGACATTATTGCACTAATTGATTCTTCCTTGCCCCACTCATAGACTTTGTATGTGTATCTATTTTTAAACAGAAATGTTCACATTATAAACCTCATATGTATATGTGGAAGATACTTGGTTTAATTACCACTGTTAATAAATAAGTAAAAATGAGTCTAAAAGAGTTAAACTGATTTGCTCAAAAAAATACAGAAACAAATTGTTACTATACTATCTTTAAAAGGAAAAAAAAGTTGATAAAATAAAGAGATAGCTGGGTAATTATAATACTTTACTATTTTTCTCTACTATAAAATAGTTATGATTATTATGCAAAATGTACTTTGGAAAACTTCTAATTTTATTAGATTCTTAGTGACTCTTTGAAAGTGAATTTTTTTCTTATTGTTTTAATTCAAATTTTTCAAAAAATTAAATCTACATAAGTATAAGGAAAGGGGAAACTGCATTTTACAATAAGAATTTAGGTCTATTTATCTATATATGTATATATACATTTCTTGTATATATGTATATATTTATTGTGATCTTTTTGCAATTCTTCTACCTAATTTAAAGGAAAATAAAGATTAATTCATTATAGGCTTTAGATGTGATTTTCTCCACTTTTACCTATAAAAATTATCATTTACAGAGAAATATAAAGGGTGATACTTAGAAACTTTGTCAGGTTATGTGTAGCCCATATGTTAATAGCTAAAGCCTAAATATAATCACATAAAAAAGAATATCTTATCTCTAAATGAAATAATTCACAATTATTTAATTATAAACTTATTATTAATTTTAACCTTATTTTCACTATATTAGTGATTTTAATTTAAACTCAATAATTGAAAATCTACTTTTAAGTTTTATGGTAAATTAAGCCTAAGATAATAAAGTATATAAATTATTTTTTCTCATTTTATCTTTCTTTCCAATGTTGTAGTCCAATGTTATCCTTTAGAGTGTTCCCTTCTATGGTATTATTTGTTATTTCTTAACACATTTGTCTTTTCTTTTTTTCCTCTCACAAAATCCTCTGCATGCTTTTTCCCTCTGCCTCTTCTTTCTGTCAAAATCATAAGCCATATTTCACTTTTGTTCTCAGAATCATGTGTCTCAAAATAAAATGAATCTGGTAGCAAAAGAAATTTTATGAAATCAATGAATTAGCAATTTGAATTTAGCATCTTTGTTATGATTAATAACTCATATTTCAAATATGAAAACAATTAATAATCTAACATATATGCACAAAACTTTTTGTTAATACCTAAATTCAAATGATTCCAATTAACTCTTGAAATCTGAAACACATTAGCATCTTCTGATCAGAACAGCTAATCAGGGTAATATATGAGGCTATATGGTGAAGGAAAATGGGATGCACTTTGATTTAGATATTTGTAGCAGATTCCTATATTTTATGTTTTCCATTTTTTGTAACCATTATACTTTGGTTAAAGCTTATCTATCAACTTTCTATATTTGCATGCATTTATCTCCATCAACGCAAATTCCTACTGCATAATTTTGGAGGTTTCTCATTGACTGGGTATTTCCCCAACTGGTCCCTCAAAAACTTATCCAGTTTACCTCCCACACCATCGCCACCAACAAAGAATGTATCAGAAGCTTTTCACAGATCACACAATTAACTCATCAATGAATGCTTCATGTCCTAATCTAGGCTCTACGTTAGAGGTACACTGCCAGTAGATTCAATGATATGTTCAATTATATGACCAGACAGGCCATTTAGTACAGTGTTTAGAATGAAGTTTGTTTAGACTGGCTAGCTCAAATCCCATCATATCACCTACTAGCTATGTGATCATGAGCAACCTCGATATGTCCCAAGGTCTATATCCCATGTTTATCATGAGGATAAAATAATAACATAAATCAAGCACTGAGAACTCTGCCTAGTCTACGTTAAGCATTTTGTAAATGTTAGATCTTGTTATGACTTTGTACTAGGAACTCTGTTGGGCTTTAGAGATAAAATGTTGAACAAAAGTAGACAAAAGCCCTTGCCTTGGGAGATTTTACATCACACAGGACAAAACCTACAAGTAACAAATGACATGAATTTGTCATTCAGGTTTCACTACATTTTACTTAATATTTGTTTAATAAAAAGTAAGTATTTATTTTAAATTATTTGAGAATAAATGAAACATATAGCTGCAAAAATTTACAGGGCTATAAAAATCAATGTAGTCCCTTTTAGTCTTTTATAAACAAATATTTATAAAATTAGGACAAAAGCACATAAACAACTTTCTATGTAATTTTATCACTAAATAATATGAATTGCAAAATATTCTTACATTTATGCAAACAGAAAACAAACAAACCAAAAAAAAAGCTGACCTTTCCCTAAAGTTCAGAACACTACATATTTCTCATTTGTTCATTTTTCTAGTATAAATAATATATTAGTGATACGCTATTAGTGTTCATTAGTGTTTAACAACATTCTAATTATTGCCATGATTCTGAGAAGGGAAACAATATTTTATATGGGCTTTTGTGGCATTTTAATCACATTGATTTCCATTATTTAATTTATTTAATGCTTTTAGCTTAAATAGTTTTGGATAGATTCAAAGATCACATACCCATGATAAAGAACAAATAATCAGAACCAAACTTAACAACAAAAAATAATAAGTGTCACAAAAGTATAGAGGTGTGTTTTTACTTACTATGAAATGATAGCCATAGTCAAAATAAAATGAATCTAGTAGCAAAAGAAATTTATGAAATCAATGCATTAACAATTTGAATTTAGCATATTGGTTATGTTAATAATTCATATTTCAAATAATCCTAAAGTATGAAAACAATAATTTAACATATATGCAACAAAAGTTTATATAAAAATAAACATAAATCAGAAAACAGCTATAATTGAACTTTTGAATATTATTGTGGGTGGAAATCACTTCAAATATTTCTGCTTTGGTCTAGCTAAGATAGAAGTTGATGCTTTTTAAGTGATGAAAGAATACACCTAGGACTGAGTGAGTTACAATGTGTCCTCTCACAAGATACACAAATTCTATTGCAGCTGAGGAAAACACAGGCTGTAAGAGGAAGAGATCAAGTTCTCATGTTAATTAGTTTTGAGAAAACATAAAATACTTGCTAAATTCATGTATTCAGATATATTGATAAAAAATAAAGTTGTTACTATAATCTTAATGTGCATTATATTAGTTTCTATAATGTGCACATACACACAAATTTTCAGAAACATTCTCTACAACTTATTACACAAGCTCTGCCTGTGTAATGTATGTGGGATATTAAAGTAGGTGACAGAGCCAATATGGAACTCACTTTTTCTAAAGGCTTTCAAAATCTATGTAAGAATCAGAGTCAACAGTTTGAAAAATTGCGTATAATATACTAGAAAATGCTCTACAAATTCATTTTGCTCAAGGAATACATGTAGGATTTATTTGATGGTAGTCTTAGAATCATGCCTTGAACCTTTATAGAGTTCTAGAATTATAGAAAAAGTCCATCAATATATTACATTATATTTAGCTCCTGAAATTAGCTCCTTTAAAGTTCTTTTATCTTTTAAAAATATGATGTGTGATGAAGTTAAGAGAAAACAATTGAATTTTTACAAAATAAAATTTAACCGAGAGTAATGGTAAATTATAGTATTGTATATGAGACAATTATACACTTTCTTAAATCTGGAAGGGTATATCTACTGACTTACATAAGTGTAGAAAATAATACAAAGCATATCAATAGGTATGATTAAATATGACAGTGTTAACTACATTTTAAAAAGAAGCACAGACACAATACACATATAAATCTTGCATACCAAAAATGTTGGCAATTTTATGTCTTTTGTTTCTTTCTTCATGAAAACAGGGCCTCTTTATTTTCATTAAATTTACCATATATAGTTAATTTATTAGAATGAAAGCAGCAAGAGTGCTTTCATTGTTAGATTTATCTTTGAATCCACACTTCCAGTTAGCAATAAATGTATTAATTGAGAATTGCATGAGCACTGTATTTAGTGAAAATTGGTTTTTGTCACAATATTTTCAACCAATTAGTGCATAGTCACCTTTATGATAAATTTTACTTTTGATTGTATAGATAGCTCAATAACAATATTATTCAGGAATATTAAAATTTTAAAAAATTAAAGATGAGTGATTTTAGCAGCATAATTTAAACAGATTTCTTGAAAAATATACCATGGTCTAACATACCATATTCCCAGTAATATGTTTTCATAAACATGGCTTCAAATTTCCAAGTATTTAAGTGTCTATCTTTGGGTGGGAATTCATGTAGGTACATCTGTTATACAAGTGACTGCAACAGACGCAGATGATGCCAACTATGGAAATAGTGCCAAAGTGGTCTATAGCATATTGCAAGGACAGCCATATTTTTCAGTGGACCCAGAATCAGGTAATAACATTTACTTTCTCATTATGTAATACATCTGGATGCACAGTTCATTTTTAGATTTTTACATACTTAAAATCAATCTATTAAGTGTTGTGTTTTTATTTATTCCTAATACTTACTCCATGGAAACAGAAGCAGATTTCCTATTATTTAAAAAGATTTGAATCCTTAGCCCTTGAGACTAATATTTATTGAGTTTAAATTTATGATGCAAAATATAGAATTTCACAGAGATTGAACACATTATGTGTCTTAGAAATTACCAAAACCTAAAAAATGTGACAATCATCAATATTAAACAAGCTGATAAAGTTTTTGACTTGTTAGTTTTTTTAAATCAAAATGATAATTAAATTGATTTAGCAAAACCTGTTTCCTAAACAATTGCCCATGGAAGAACTTTTGTCTGTTCTGTGACTAATGTTAAATTGGTTATGGATTGGAAGACTTATCTAGGTCCACTGACATGTTATCATCTGTGTGTTCTGATTAATTTCTATAAAATGGATCTTGCATGGCTTAATATTAAAACACGATGATTGAATTGCAAAATATGTGTCTACTTTTTCCAAAAGGTATAATAAAAACTGCATTACCAGACATGAGCAGAGAAAACAGAGAGCAGTACCAAGTGGTTATACAAGCCAAAGACATGGGAGGCCAGATGGGAGGACTTTCTGGGACCACCACAGTCAACATCACTCTGACAGATGTCAACAACAACCCTCCTCGATTTCCCCAGAGTAAGAGAGTTTTCAGTGATATCATGCGGAAAGTTTCTCAAATACACTGTCAACAGTTAAATGTTTTTGCTCCTGGTTTATGCATACAGATGAATCCACAAACCCTCCTTCAACAAAACGTCACAATTTCCATCATATTAAAGTGAAGAATCTGCCTGCAATGCAGGAGACACAGGAGAGGCAGGTTCAATCCTTGGGTTGGGAGACCCCCTAGAGGAGGAAATGGCAACCCACTCCAATATTCTTGTCTGGGAAATCTCATAGACAGAGGAGCCTGGTGGTCTACCGTCCATAGGTTGCAAAGAGTCGGACACGACAGAGCAATGAATACTGCATCACTTCAAAGTGACTATGATCATTTTTATCATTAAGCAGTTAATGGAGACAACAAGGAAAGGAGGTTTTTTTTTTGGCAACTTTAATTATCCTCTTCTACTTTTTAAAAAGTTACAAAATTTTCCAGCCTAGCTTTCCCAACATTTCCTATGATCATCTAGTTCTTTTGATTATCTTTTCCCTGGTTATGTGTATGGGCTCTCAAGACTGACCACTTGGTTTCAAATCCATGTGTCACTTGTCTTGCCTCAGTTCTCTTGTTTGTACATAAAAACTATAATTCCTCATTTAGTCAATTCTAAAACAGGTTAGTTGATGCTTTAATATTTCTGAAATCAAGTACTATATTAAAATAAATGCAAGTTAGTTTAATAGGCCACATTTTTCTGTTTTATTCACCCATAGCCTTATGGAATACCTTGGTTGTGATGACATCTGAGCTATGTTAAAAAATTTCTGGTATCTGTTACCTACTTGTGAATAATTACACCAGTCTATAGCCTTTCAGTTGTAGCCATTTTTAGGTATGCATGTTAAACCATGGATTCTTTGCAAGCCATGAGGCCCTGTAAATATAGACTCTGATTCTCTGCTGCAAATATTTCCATTTTGCAGCAAATAAAAACATAAGGGGTCCTTTCTTGAAATGTTCTACTAAGGACCCTCACAATTCAATTTCTGACATTGATTCCTGTGTAATAAAGCATTTTTTCAAGCTAATCAAATTTGAATACTTGATGATACAGCTCTGGATGGTGGACATATACATATGATAAATGTTAAAAAATAAACATCACTGAGAATATGAATAATAAGCTTAATTAACATAAATCTAAACTTTGAATTCAGTTTCCTTAAATATAAACTGAAAGGGTATGATGTGATGAATTCTCAAATGACTTGCTGCTCTATAATTCTCTGATATAATATAATTTTAGCAGAAGGTTTGGAACTGTAATAGTAATAGCAGAAATGATCTTGCACTCAGAAATGAACTAAGCATCTTAAAGACATAATTTCATGCAATCTACTTAACAAACATACGAGTTAATTGCTATCATCATCTCAATTTTATAGATGTGGAAATTAAGGGTTAAAGAATTTAACTAACTTGCCCAGTGATGAGAAATTCAGGGTAGCTAGATTTAGAAGTCTCTCTTCTTAAGAACCAAGCTAATTGGAAAGAGAACAGACTTTGAAGTCAGAGAGACTTAGTTTTGCCTTCTGCATTTCCCAGTTTTACAGGGTGATTTCCTTGAGCCTTATCTCTGAGGACAATATACCTGCCTTCATTCTATAAGGATGAATGTTAGAATTAAATGAATTAACACAGAGGCCTTATATAGACATCAACACATATTAAATGTTTAAAACATTTCTAACTTTCATTAATAATTATTGTGATATTTTCCAATTATCTCTTGAATAAACCCTCACAAACTTAAATGCTTTTGGGGACAGCACAATGTAAAAATTTCAGGAGACAGAAACATTCATATCCCAATAAAAAACATTAACAAGCAAAAAAGAAAAGAAAGAAAGAAAGAATTTATCATGCAAGGATTTATTTTTTTTCTACTCCTGAGTTAGAATATAAGAATAAATGTATGTTCTAAATAATTTATCACATGCATAATGTGTAATGATAATACTGAACACTTCAAATAAGCAGTAAACAACTGCTTTCCTGCCCTCTTAAGTCAAAAAGTTCTGGATTCTAACATCAGGACTACTATCTATTATCTAAATAACCTTGAGATATCCACTTAATCTTTCTGAAACACAAATTTCTCATTTATAAAATGAGAGAGTTCTGCCTTTATAAGTTATTTTTCCAACTTAATAAATCTGTAATTTTTGACAGCTTACAATTCAATATGATGAAAAATTTTCCTAACTTAAAATTAATTTTAAGTAAAAAAAAGCAGAGGAAATGAAAGTTTTTGTTATCTAAAGATGAAACAGCTTTGATTCAATTTTCAGGTACGTATCAATTTCATTCTCCTGAGTCTGTACCTCTTGGAACTCCTCTTGGAAGGATAAAAGCCAATGACCCTGACGTGGGGGAAAATGCTGAGGTGGAATACAGCATTGCTGAAGGAGATGGAGCAGACATGTTCGATGTCATCACTGACAAGGATACACAGGAAGGGATTATAACTGTCAAACAGGTTTCTTCTTGCTGTCTTCATTTTTTTATTGAGCACTTTATGGTTTATTTTTGCTTTTTAGGTAAGAAAGCCTAGGATTTATTTCTTCCATCTTTTACATGCTTCTGTCCTTCATATAAATGGGAATAGTTGTGATTTCTCTTCAAGTGAGTTAAGCATCTTTATCACTGACACTTAAAAGTGCTATAAAACTTCAACAGCTTGTGCTTAGAGTAAACAACAAGTAAAACTAGGATCAAAAACAAAACAAAACAAAAAAAAACTAGGATCAAGTAATATCAGAAGTCATTGTTATATTTCTCCATGACATTATTTGGCCATGGCAATCCTCTGGCCACCTGACGTGAAGAGCTGGCTCATTGGAAAAGACCTTGATGCTGGAGAACATTGAAGGCAAAAGGAGACAGGAGCAGCAGAGGATGAGACGGTTAGATAGTATCACTGACTTAGTGGGCATGAATTTGAGTGAACTCCGGGAGACAGTGAAGGACAGAGAAGCCTGGTGTGTTGCATTCCATGGGGTCACAAAGAGTCACACAGGGCTTATTGACTGAACAATAGCAACAATGCTATTACTTCATGTACATTTCCAGATATTTAAATTTCTATGTGTGATGTCTATTAAAATAGATGAGGGTGGAAGATACTTAATTTTTAAAGCGGTGAAGGAGAACATTATAAAATGTTACATAGTATAATCCAGCTAAATATTGACTACATTACATCACACTAATTTTATTGGTTTGATTCAGTTCTTGTTTTCCACAGCATTCAGATTATTGATTTTTTTCTTTTTAAAACACAAGTTTTAGAACTGTAGGACTTAAGAAAGCAACTTATATGAATAGCCTGATAAATCTCAACTTCATATTTCTGCTGATTTCAAACTTTTATAACTTTAAAATAATAATACATAATATAGTAATAAATAAATAACCTATGTATTTATTAGATATTTCATTTACCCATGACCACCAAAATGTAAAATGTATTAATAAGTGCAAATCAGTATTAATGTTATACTGCTACATTCAACTACTCTTTATAAACATGTAAGGCAAAAAAAAAAGAGAAAGTACTAACTTATTTGATATACTCATGAAGCAAGAATTGGGAAATTTATTTAACCAAAATTACACGAACTACTAGAGAGGTGTTTATTACATTTTGATATTGTCTCTGCTTGTTATGTCTGCTATGTTGCACTAATTTTTCTTACTTCATTTCACTTCAGAATTTAGATTTTGAAAACAAGATGCTGTACACTTTAAAAGTGGATGCAAGTAACACTCACCCTGATCCACGGTTCTTACACCTGGGACCTTTCAAAGACACAGCTGTGGTTAAAATATCTGTGGAAGATATAGATGAGCCTCCTGTGTTCAGTAAAGTCTTTTATTTGATAGAAGTAGATGAAGATGTAAAGGAAGGCAGCATCATTGGACAGGTGACCGCATATGACCCAGATGCCATGAACAATTTAATAAAGTAAGTGTTTTGAGAAAACCTAAGTTTGAAGATATATAACAATCACTCACTATTTACAAGTTGTGTGAAAAAAAAAACATACAATACATGATCAAGTACAGTAATAAGACCAAATGCTTCCATAACAAAGGCTCTTAGCTGTACTGCCTTTTAAGTGCTCTGGATATATTGATTCCTTTGACTCACACTGTGGGTTTCCCTGGTGGCTCAGGTGGTAAAGAATCTGCCTGCAATGCAGGAGACCTGGGTTTGATCCCCGGGTTGAGAAGATCCCCTGGAGAAAAGCATGGCAACCCACTTCAGTATTCCTGCCTGGAGAATCTCCATGGAGAGAGAAGCCTGGCTGTCTACAGTCCATGGCGTCGCAAAGAGTCGGACATGACTGATCAACTAAACACATACATCACTTAACAAAGAAGCTCCTATTATTTTATCTTTCTGCAGATGATAAGACTATAGCATCGAGCATTTAAATAACATGCCAAAAAATTAGTCAGTGGAAAAGCTGGTTTGAGGTTCAAACTATCTGGCTACTGTGTCCATGTTTTAATCCATTAGGTAGTGAAGTAATTCTTATCCCACTGTCCTTCTTAGATTAATCATAGTTCAAATAATAAGAGATCTAAATAAAATGTTCTTCTAGGAAAGTTATTAAGAGCTACCTGGAAAATTGATGAAATAACTTTGAAATTAGTCCCTAGGCACATTTTCATAAAAATTTGCGGGAAAAAATTATCAACTATATTCTATTAATAACACACAGGATTGATAAAGACAGTAGTGATACTTGAGAACAAAGAAACTATTAAAAATTAGTATTATTTGTGCATAATAGTGTAATAATTTCTCAAAGTTTGAAGATTATATTAACCATTCCAAAGCTTTCAAATGTGCCATATATTATGCTGAAGTGGAGTATAGTGAAACTCGATCGGTCATGTCCAACTCTTTGCAATCTGGTGGAGTGTATAGCCTGCCAGTCTCCTCTATCTATGGAATTCTCTAGGCCAGTATACTGGAGTGGGTAGCCGTTCCCTTCTCCAGGGGATCTTCCCAACCCAGGGATTGAACCCAGGTCTCCCACATTGTGGGTGGATATTTTACCATCTGAGCCACCAGGTAAGCTCCAGTTATGCTTAAGGAGAATATAAATGTAATTGTTATATAAATTGATAAATAGGATGGGTGGATGAAGATGGGTAGGTATGCTGATGAAGACAAAGAAGACCAAAGGAGCAAATACTATATTGTTTGTTAATGTGTGACTACTATAATAAAATATCTAAAATTATCCTTTGCTTAAGATTTAATTTTTTACCCAACAAGTACTTACCATGTAGCATAGGAACTATTCTCAATATCTTGTAATAACCTATAATGGATGGGAATGTATAAGAAGAATATATATATTTACATGTATTATAAACTGAACTATTTTGCTTTATACCAGAAACTAACATCACATTGTAAAATGAACTGTATTTCATATAATTTTTAAAATTTAATACTAATTAAGGAAACTGAATAATTAATATGTTTTGGGAATGCCCAAATTTCCTACAATTCATGTCATATATCATACATAGAAAATCAATGAAAGCAACACTAAATAATATAGGCATTAAATTTAGCTTAAGATGTAATAACTATTCATGTTAATTTACAAAGCAATATTTTTTGCACTAAATATACACTAAGCTTAATTTGTTGGTTAATTAATATATTTTTAAAATAAACAATTCATGAAATTTTAATCTGTACTTAGTACTCAGAGTTTAGCCTGAACCTTTTGGCTAGTTTTAGGTTAATTAGAAGAGAATTTATGTAACTTTCTTTCTTAAGTAAATGTTCAGGTTCAAATCATATATTTGTGTATTGTTCAACATTAATTTAAAAACATAATACCAATGAATGAAAGATTATTTGATACTTTTATATCATCGTGCAAAAAGAGTATTAATTTTGCATTATCATGTTGTATAAAACTCTTAAAATGAAATAAGTAATCTAGTTTTCCAATGGTCTACATGTATGCTACATCAGGTTTACATCCAAAATTATGTTTATTTACTTTTTATTGAAATTGAGTGTGGCTGATTGGCTTTGGCATCACTTATATGTGAATTTATTTTTTTAAGTAACAAAAGGAAGTTCAGAGTGTTTTTGTGTTCTTTGTAGTATTGAAATAGAAATAATTTACCATGTATATAAAAATGCATAAGGGACTGTAGATACCAATAGCTATAAATGCTCCATAAATATCTATTCTTGATAGATTTTGCAGTTTTCAAAAACATAGTAGTCAGTGTTGGCTGTGCCTTCATTTAGACTTAGTATTTGTGATGCCAAATATTTATGCTTAAAATTCCACATCTATGTTTTCAATAAAGTCATTGATTTTACCTTTTGTCAGTTAACAAACCACTGTTAGAAAGTTTTAGACAAGTGACAGGATATTGACTCTTAAATTAAGAACAGTTTATTGCCCTACTACTGAGCATTCCCTAGTATAAAGGAGACAGCCTCTTAATAATCTTGTCTCATTCATTTGGTATATCTTGCATATAGGAATTCAATGAATGTTGATTAACTTGAGAAAGGCAAGCTAATTTTCCATGTTGCCAAGGATATTTGTTTATTTATTCAGATGGCATCAAGGATTTTATTTAGTTTAATCATTTTAACACCCCTCTCTACACAAAGGTTTTAATCTTTTTTTTTTTTTTGGTTTTAATCTTTTCATTGAATCAAGTGATAAGCAACAGTGCTTTTCTACTCAAATGGTGGCATCAGATCCATGATATGAGACTCAAATATTTTGTCTATCTTTTCCTCTATAAAGTAATTGTTATTTATTGTGCTCTTGCTATGAACTGGAAACTATCCAAAGTATCAGATCATTTAAATCTCATCACAGCATTATAAGGCAAGCACATTGCTATCACCTATATTTTTAAAATAAACTATTTTATATTAGAGCATAATTGATTAACAATGTTGTATTAATTTCAGGTGTACAACAAAGTGATTCAGTTATGCATATGTGTGTGTGTGTGTGTGTGTGTGTTACTTGCTAAGTCATGTCCAACTCTCTGCAACCCCTTGGACTATATCCCGCCAGGTTCCTCCTTTCATGGAATTCTCTAAGAATCCTGGAGTGGGTTGCCATTTCCTTCTCCAGGGGACCTTCTCAACCCAGGGATCGAACTCGCCTCTCCATTGTCTCATGCACTGCAATTGATTCTTTCCTTACTGAGCCATCAGAGATGTTCACAGACTTAGAGAATAAATCTGTGCTTACTCAAGGGGGAGTAGGGGGTGAGATAGATTGGGAATTCAGGATTGACATGTACATCTGTATTGTTAAAAATAAACAGAGATAGAGATGCAAGGAGTTTAAGGAGCTTTACCAAGGACCCTATACAAATAACTGTCAGGCTGAGGATTCAAACTATTTTTGATCTGAATGCACAGCCAGTTCTTTAACCTATATAATTCTGCTTTCTAGGCCTGACTTTTAGAGATAATTAACAACATTTCACATTCATTAACTAATATGACTGAATTCAGTAGTACATAGCAGAGCCTCAAGGACGAACTTGTACAAAAAGCAACCCATGGCTTTTGCCCCTCAGAATTTGGTTTAGTTTTCCCTTGTCTTTTCTCTCCATTGTCCATAATAGGGATTATTTTTTTCTTCTTCTAGTTTTATTGAGGACTGTGTTGTGGGTTGTAACTTCTCTTTTTTCATTTCTAATTTTATTAATTTGGTCCCACTCTCTTTTTTCTCAGTGACTCTGGCTGAAAGTATATCAGTTTTGTTTATTTTTACAAAGAATTAATTCCTAGTTTTGTTGCTCTTTCCTATTGTTTCTTTGTTTGCTTGTTTTTCAGTGTCTATTTCATGTATTTCTGCTCCTTATAACTGCTTTTCTTCTACTAACTTTGGATTTTCTTCTACTAACTTTGGATTTTATTTTTTGGATTTTATTTACTGTGTCACTCTCTTCTGTCCTGTGTATTAACTATTGAAAAGTTGACTGATAGCCTATGGACATCCCTTATGTATAACTTGTTACTTTTCCCTTCCAGCTTTTAATATCCTCTCTTTAATTTTCTCATTTCATTACAATATGTCTTGGTGTGGTCCTCTTTGGGTTGATCCTGTTTTGGACTCTGTACTTCCTGGCCTGGGTGCCTGTTTCCTTTCTCAGGTTAGGACATTTTTCTGCTATCATGTCTTCAAATATGCTCTCTTCCTGTTTCTCTTCTTCTGGGCCACTAAATATGGATCTTATGGTGCATGGTGTTGTACTAGAAGTCTTGCAAGTTTTCCTCTTTTATTTTTATCTTTTTTTTTTCCCTTTTTGCTATTTATCTTCAATGATTTCCACTACCCTGTCTTCCAGATTGCGGTCAATTCTTCTGTATCAAATAATCTGTTGATTCCTTCTGGTGTATTTATTATTTCAGTTGTTATATACCTCATGTTTGTTTGCTATTGTTTAATTGCTCTATCTTTGCCTTGTTTCATCATTCCTATTTTCTGCCTTGTTTGGATTAATACTGTGCCTTATTTTGCATTCTTCAATATTTCCTTTTTTAACGTCATCATTCTTTTCTTGCTGGGTATAGAAATTTAGATTGAGGGTAGTTGTTGCTTTTTTCTAGATCTAAAGTAAATATTTTGAAATGTCTTTATGTTTATTTTTGTCTTAATAACTTAATTCTTCCTTAGGATGCATTGAAATTTTGTTAAAAGCTTTAAGCAATTTGATTATGATGTGATTTCTATAATATGCTTCATATATTTTGTGCTTGACATTTACTAAGCTTCTTGGATCTGTGAGTTTATGGCTTTTGTCAAACTTAGAAAACTTTTCTACCACTCTTTCTTCAATAATTTTGCCCTACCTTCCTCTCTTTCAGATCATTTAATTTTAATTATGTTAGGTCTCTTGAAAGTGCAACACAGCTCACCGGTACTCTAATTTTTTAAT